CGCGTTGCCGGGCATGAAGGCGGCCATGGCCTGCGTGATGCGAACCAGGAAGGGCAGCGTGACGACGAGCGGCAGCGCCAGCAGCCGGTTCGCCTCGGGCGTGCCCGCCTGCACCTCGAACAGCTGCTGCGCGGACGACGGCAGCGTGTGCACGTACTGCGCGAGCTGCAGCGTGACGGCGTGGTACCAATCGGCATTCACGCCGCTCTGCGCGCAGCGTTGGCGCTGGTTCAGGTGGAAGGCGGGCGGGTCGTTCCGAGCCCAGCGGCGGCGCAGCTCGGCCTGCAGTTCGGCCCGCAGCGTCGCGAGGAAGGCATGGCCTTCGAGCTCGGCCTGGCGGCGGGCGATGTCGGCGCGCAGGTCGTCCGTGTGCGCCTCCGCCGAGCCCGCGTCGCCGAGCATCTTCAGCCGGCGCGTCTCGTCATGCAGCTCCCACAGCAGGATGCGGAAGTTGCGCTCCGGGCCCGTCGCGTCGTGCCCGGCGATGTACTCGAAGGCATCGTGCGCCTCCACGGCGCAGCGCGCCACCGCGGCCATCGAGGGCACGTCCCACAGCTCCTTGGGCGTTCTCGTGCCCTGGTCCACCGCCAGGCGGCGCAGCGCCAGCGCGTGGGACAGCAGCTTGAGGAAGATCTGCACGCCGTAGCGCATCTGCGGCGTGCGCGCCTGCAGCCCGTCGAGCGACGAGGCCACGGCCTTGGCGTGCTCCAGCACGGCATCGAACTCGCGCAGCCGGGCCCGGTAGTCTTCCCACGTGTTGATCGCTTGCAGCATGCTTGGCCGGTAGCTCAAAGAGCCGCGCAGGTTAAGCGAAGTCGCTCGCCTGCTGAAGGGGCCTTGCCCGGCGTGGCGCGGCCGCGGTGCATCGGCGGATGCGCGGCGTCACACGCCCTTGAAGAAGAGCCAGCCACGGGTCTGGCTGACGCGGGCTTCGCTGAAGGTCGCGATGACGCGGATTTCATCGTGCATGCCGAGATTCCACACGCTCGGCCGGGCGTGGCTGGCTACCAGCTCGTGGGCGCCCGCCTTGTCCAAGACGTGATGAAGCGTGAAGCCCTGGGCCTTGAGCAGGGTCTCCGTGTCGTCACGGGTCATGCCGACGGGCAGGTGACCGGCGACGATGCTCGAGATGTCCACCGTCGTGTTGCGGTCGTGTTGGCGCAGCTGCTGCACGTCGGCCACGAGGCCGGTCGGCTCGGGCTCGCGATCCGGGGCGCTGCGGGCAATCAGGACCAAGCCCAACGTGAAAGTTGCTGCGATGGCGAGCCACTGTTTCATGTCTCTCTCCTGGTGTTGCCGGCGTGTGCCG